TGCCTACCAAGAAAGATTTTCTATTAATGTTTCAGTGGGCATAGTGCACAATAACCCAGTAAGACCATACATTCTAACTAGTCCTTTAACTGGACAAATGTACAGATTCTTTTGGAGGTACAGGAGGTTTTACCTGAACTTTTGGTAGATGTTCCTCCAGCTGTTCGCAGACAAATGTGGTTCCAGCACGATGAAGCCCCAGCTCACTTCATCCAGAACGTGAGAAATCACTTGAAGGCTGTCTACAGCCAGCATTGGATAAGACGGGACAGACCAGTTTCCTGGTCAAAGCATTCTTCCGATTTAACCTGCTTGGATTTCTTCTGGGGTCATATTAAAATCTTCGTGTACATTATATATCTGCTGATCTTGTTGCATGCTTGTCTTGCTGCTGGAGATATGCGCTTGACATGCCTGACGTCTTTTCTAATGTACGACAATACATGCGCTGCCACTTGAATCTTCTATCGCTGTTAGTCGTCGCTTTTTTGATTACCTACTGTGAACTGATTTTTTCTTTTGTCTTTACTTTCCTTCTTAGTTTCCCGTAATACATATTGCTTTACATGCTAGTGCTTTAATACGGCATTACCACACACACTTTCCTATACGCAAATCTGCTTATTCAGGTCCCCTCTAGTTGCCTTTACATTTTTGAAATATAGTTTTGAACCACCCTATATATGAAGTATATGACTACAACCAACGACTGAGAAAACAAAGACTGGCTAAGGACTTTTAAGTTGGGTAAACAATTTAGAATCACCCTGTGTATATATATCCACAGGGTGATTCTAAATTGTTTTTAGAAATAAAGAGGGGTGATAGTACTCATCCAGATCAGCAATAATTACCATAGAACATAGGATCACATTCCACTCTGAGAGGCAGAAAAAAGAAATATTAATTCCAACCGGAACTTACAACAGTGTTGGGAGAGACAATGAACGAGACCAAAAATTGTGCAATCAGTTTAGTGAAAATCTCCCAGAGAGTGCACAAAATGGATAAAACCGAAAACTTGATGTTCAAGTGTTAATTCGAGCTGAGACTTTGATGGCAAACACTCACATGCACATTTTTGGTTCGCAAGCTCTCAACCTCACAAACGATTGCAACAAGTTAATTATCTAATCAAGGGCTGAGTATTATCAACTAACTCCAACTCAAGGTAGTTTTGATACTATCAAGATAGCAGTTTTCACCCCTTTGCCACCTTCCATCCTGTCCTCCTGGACTTATTATGCTGAGTTCATTCTACTTGAAGTGCCCTTCTATGGACACAAGTTCTGACAGATGGAACACAGCATGAACTTTTGATTCTAATTTCCACATACAATGGAAGTTGGAGTTATTTGATAATATTCAGCCCTTGATTAGGTAATTAACTTGTGGAAATCAATTGTGAGGTTGAGACTTTGTGAACCAAAGATGTGCATTTGAGTATTTGCCATCAAACTCTGAGCTCGAATGCCAAGTTTTCAGTTTTATCGTTTTGTGAGATTTTCATTAAACTGATTGCGCAATTTTTGGTCTCATTCATTCGCTTTCCCAACACCGTTGTATGTTCGGGTTGGAATTCTAACATTCCTCTTTTCTGCTCTCAGAGTGGAATGTGACCCTATGTTCTATGGTAATTATTGCTCAACTAGATTAGTACTATCATCCCTCCTAATTTGTAAAAACAATTTAGATCACCCTGTATATATTTTTGGTACTACCAACTGCAATAAAAAAGGCAGGTGTACAACAAGATGTTATAGTAATTCTCCGTACAAAATTTCTTTATTCTTCAGCTAATCATTTTGAGCTATACAAGCTACATATTTACATACAGATGTACCAAAAAATCCATTTTGAATCCATTTTAAAATGTGTTTTGGAACATACATATATCATACACCCCTCCACCAAAAGTCAAAAGAGGCATTTCCACTGGAATCTGAAAAATGAAACTTTTTGCAATTACTATACTTCCTTAGCTTTGTACAAGGAAGTAAAAAATCATTTTAAAAAATGATAACAAGAAGCAAAAAATGGAAATTTGCACACACATATAAATATGAGAACAAAATGGTAAACTGGAAAATATAAAAATTACATAAATGTTAATTTTCTGATGCAAAATGGAGAAAAAGAGAAACAGTATTATTATGTTGTACAGGAGTTATGACCATCACATAATAAGAGCAAATAATACCTGTCCTAACTATTAGAACAGAGGTTCTTGACCTTTTTTTTGTCCCATGCATCCCTTTCACCCTTGTTAGAAGTTTGTTCTCCCCTTCTTTTCCAAAACTTGAAAAATATATAGATTTAGATTATTTTACCACATGTTTTTAAAAAAAATTAAAGGCAGGATACAGAGCAGCGCAGAAAATCATCATTTTCGCCAAAACCAACTAGTCACGTGATGAAACACTTCAATTCTGCTATGGCAAGAACTGTTTTTAACATATTTTCATTGCAAAAGTCTTAGAATGAAAGACTTTAATGTCTTATTATTTTATCTCGCCCAAGAAGTGTGGTGTATATTTTTACACCTTTATTTCTCCCTACTTTCGTGAAAGGCCATAGCACTAGTTAAACACGATAGGATGAACACTATTTGAAGTCAGCAGAAATTATGATTTGCATTGATCTGAAACCTGAAAAACAAGCATGTTGAATCCCTAGCCATAATTTATGAATTTTATATAAAGATTCATATTCCATGACTTACTTTAAAATATGAGATTACTAAAAATTATGGAATTACATTTTTTAGCAGGATACTTTTTGTAGCAAGGGGGGCGGAAATGGGCCAAGAAGTCTTCACCTAATTTGAGTGGGAAATGACCAGACTGCAGTTGATTTAATAGGTTATCTGCCAAGTATTACAAGGATATATTTCGCTTTATTTTTAAAAGACATTTTCAGAATTTTTTCCAGCCAATATGAATAATAATGCATGTAGACTTTAGCACAAAAATCAAAAGAAAGGTCATGATTATTCATTATAACATTGTAGAGACATTAGGTTAATTGGAAAAGCCGGAGAGATGAAAAATGAGCAAATGCCTTCACCGGGAATCGAACCACAGACCTCTGGAATACGTGCCCAGCGTGCAGACCACCACACCATGAAGGCATGTAAAGAAAGCGGGAGAAATACTTTATATACCCCCTTTTAAAGGGCCACTGCGTTTTTAGGGGACCCAAACGCCAAATCCTGGATGTGGAGAATGATAATCCAACACCCTTTTTAGTTCGGGCGCCACTTGTAGAGACACTAGGATTTTTTTCGAAGCCAGAGAGATGAAAAATATGCACACTTAACCTCAGATATAAAAAATACCTATAATAATTATTTACTAGTATAAAATTATTATAATCAATTATATTATTAAAATTCATTGTACTAATAATATAATGAAATTATGTAATAAAATATAACAACTAAATGATATAATAAAAATTGTTATACAATAGCAGTTTACAATTTATCATTAAATTTATATAGTTAAAATTAATTGGTTCTAGTTAAAAATTAAAAATTAGTTAAAATTTCTAAACTTTAATTTTCACTCATATTTTTACCAATAAATAAATAAATGAACAAAATTAAACACTATGTAATAAAGCAGAAACAGTGAATAACAAACAATGATCATATTTTAGTTTAGATTACTTAGAAGTAATTTTTGTCTTCATTCTGCACTCTTTGAAAGCTGCAAAAATTATGAAGGAGAAAATAAATAATAATGAAAAAAATCCCTACTACATGATTCATATCCATCCACCCTATTTCATGAGTAAATCACTCTGAATGGCACATGGATGTTTACGCTAATGGTCATGAATGCGACAGTCAAACTACAAATATCAAAATTTGAATATAGGTAGTTTTTAATATTCACAAAGTAAAACGAAATACTAAACAGCTAAATAAATGGCTGAACACATTACCTCCTGGTTCAGAATCTCTGTATAAGACATATTATGAAAATTTAATTTATAATAGAAACTAATATTATTACTCCACTACTGCACTCATTCATGGTTTGCACTGCTTCCAACTAAGACAAAGTTCCAAGAACAATAAACTTTACCTGACATTAATCAGTTTATTAGCAAAGCAACTTATTGAACTTTAAACAATACATATCATCACTCTTGTGTGGGGGGGAGGGGGAGATTTACAGCCTGCAATATTCCTTCAGATGCAATTCATATTTATTCAGAAATAGTTTCCCCAAGTAACTCTCGGAAGCTAATGATCTTACATAATGCACAGTTTGAAAAGAGTGTTGAAAATTTAAAATTGAGAAGAGCTGGAATTGCTTTTGAGATCTGAGCTATGAATTTCCAAAGAAAATGAAATCATCACAAATAATAATACTTTTCAGCTGCATTTTATTTTTAATAAAATATTGAAAGAGGAGTTCAAAGGTAATTTTGTGAAGTTTCCAGAATAAGACGAAGGATCAACAAGTGAATCTACATAACTCGTTATGGCTTATAGCAGAGAAAACAAAAATCTATTGCATGTTGTCATCTTCCCAAGAGAAATAGATCAAAGTGGACCTGGATCCATGACGATTCACTACTTCAATAATATATTTCTTTCCAATTGAACAACTTTTATACAGTGTGCTGTGTTATAAGGGATATATTTTTATTTCCTAAAAAAGTAACTGTGTTATAAGCGTAAACCGATGTCAAGTTTTTGATAAAATATTTATTTCTCAGTGGATTTACTTTAAGAATTTTCTATAGTACATCATAATATTGAACCATTATTTAGTTTTGTATATGCCAGATAATTATGATTCTACACTAATTTACAGAAAAATACTTCACACAAATAAATGCTTAGATAATAAATTCAAAGAGTACTTAATTTATCACACAATTATTTAAAATATAACAGAATACTTTTTTTTTTTTAAATTGATATCAACTTGAAGTTTTTTCAAGCATTCCAATCACTCACATCTTTAAACCATTAATGGCCTTACCAGAGTGAGCTGCTGCTTCTTTGTCAGATACCCGGCTTTCATTATCTAATTCAAAGGAAAATATATTAAATATTGAATGCAATATCATACATGCCTATAAATATAATTTTCAATTAGTAATTAATTTTACTAGTACTTTTTAGTTACTCTTTTTTAGTTACTTGTTTTAGTTACTTTTTAGTTACTTTTTTAGTACGTTTTTTTACGTTTTTAGTTTTTAGTTACGTTTTTAGTTTACGTTTTTTAGTTACTTTTTAGTTTACTTTTTTAGTTACTTTTTTATTTATTTTTTAGTTACTTTTTTAGTTACTTTTTTAGTTACTTTTTAGTTACTTTTTTAGTTACTTTTTTAGTTACTTTTTTAGTTACTTTTTTAGTTACTTTTTTAGTTACTTTTTTAGTTACTTTTAGTTACTTTTTTAGTTAGTTTTTAGTTAGTTTTTTAGTTACGTTTTTAGTTACGTTTTTTAGTTACGTTTTTAGTTACTTTTTTAGTTACTTTTTTAGTTACTTTTTTAGTTACTTTTTTAGTTACTTTTTTAGTTTTTAGTTACTTTTTTAGTTACTTTTTTAGTTACTTTTTAGTTACTTTTTTTACTTTTTTAGTTACTTTTAGTTTTTTAGTTACGTTTTTTAGTTACTTTTTTTAGTTACTTTTTAGTTACTTTTTTTAGTTACTTTTTTAGTTACGTTTTTTTAGTTACGTTTTTTAGTTACTTTTTAGTTTAGTTACTTTTTTAGTTACTTTTTTAGTTACTTTTTTAGTTACTTTTTTAGTTACTTTTTTAGTTACGTTTTTTAGTTACTTTTTAGTTACTTTTTAGTTACTTTTTTAGTTACTTTTTTAGTTTTTTTAGTTACTTTTTTAGTTACTTTTTAGTTACTTTTTAGTTACTTTTTAGTTACTTTTTTAGTTAGTTACTTTTTTAGTTTTTAGTTACTTTTTTAGTTACTTTTTTAGTTACTTTTTTAGTTACTTTTTTTAGTTACTTTTTTAGTTACTTTTTTAGTTACGTTTTTACGTTTTTTAGTTACGTTTTTAGTTACGTTTTTTTAGTTACGTTTTTTAGTTACGTTTTTTTAGTTACGTTTTTAGTTACGTTTTTTTACGTTTTTAGTTACGTTTTTTAGTTACTTTTTAGTTACTTTTTAGTTACTTTTTAGTTACGTTTTTAGTTACTTTTTTAGTTACTTTTTTAGTTACTTTTTTTTAGTTACGTTTTTAGTTACTTTTTTAGTTTTTTTAGTTACTTTTTTAGTTACTTTTTTAGTTACTTTTTTAGTTACGTTTTTAGTTACGTTTTTAGTTACGTTTTTAGTTACGTTTTTTAGTTACGTTTTTAGTTACGTTTTTAGTTACGTTTTTAGTTACGTTTTTTAGTTACGTTTTTAGTTACGTTTTTAGTTACGTTTTAGTTACGTTTTTAGTTACGTTTTTTAGTTACGTTTTTAGTTACGTTTTTTAGTTACTTTTTTAGTTACTTTTTTAGTTACTTTTTTAGTTACTTTTTTAGTTACGTTTTTTAGTTACTTTTTTAGTTACTTTTTTAGTTACTTTTTTTAGTTACTTTTTTTAGTTACTTTTTTAGTTACGTTTTTTAGTTACGTTTTTAGTTACGTTTTTTAGTTACTTTTTAGTTACGTTTTTTTGTACGTTTTTTAGTTACGTTTTTAGTTACTTTTTTTAGTTACTTTTTTAGTTACTTTTTTAGTTACTTTTTTTAGTTACTTTTTTAGTTACTTTTTTAGTTTTTTTAGTTACTTTTTAGTTACTTTTTTAGTTTTTTTTAGTTACTTTTTTAGTTACTTTTTTAGTTACTTTTTTAGTTACTTTTTTAGTTACTTTTTTTAGTTACTTTTTTAGTTACTTTTTTAGTTACTTTTTTAGTTACGTTTTTTAGTTACTTTTTTAGTTACGTTTTTTAGTTACTTTTTTAGTTACGTTTTTTTAGTTACTTTTTTAGTTACTTTTTTTAGTTACTTTTTTAGTTAGTTACTTTTTTAGTTACTTTTTAGTTACTTTTTTAGTTACTTTTAGTTACTTTTTAGTTATTTTTACTTTTTTAGTTACTTACTTTTTTAGTTTTTAGTTACTTTTTTAGTTACTTTTTTAAGTTACTTTTTTAGTTACTTTTTTAGTTACTTTTTTAGTTACTTTTTTAGTTACTTTTTTAGTTACTTTTTTAGTTACTTTTTTTAGTTTTTTTTACTTTTTTAGTTACTTTTTTAGTTACTTTTTTAGTTACTTTTTTTAGTTACTTTTTTTTAGTTACTTTTTTAGTTACTTTTTAGTTTTTTAGTTTTTTTAGTTACTTTTTTAGTTACTTTTTTAGTTACTTTTTTAGTTACTTTTTTAGTTACTTTTTTAGTTACGTTTTTAGTTACGTTTTTAGTTACGTTTTTAGTTACGTTTTTAGTTACTTTTTTAGTTACGTTTTTAGTTACGTTTTTAGTTACGTTTTTAGTTACGTTTTTAGTTACTTTTTTAGTTACGTTTTTTTAGTTACTTTTTTAGTTACTTTTTTAGTTACTTTTTTAGTTACTTTTTAGTTACTTTTTAGTTACTTTTAGTTAGTTTTTAGTTACTTTTTTTAAGTTACTTTTTTAGTTACTTTTAGTTACTTTTTAGTTACTTTTTTAGTTACTTTTTTAGTTACGTTTTTTAGTTACTTTTTAGTTACTTTTTTAGTTTTTTTAGTTACTTTTTTAGTTACTTTTTAGTTACTTTTTAGTTTACTTTTTAGTTACTTTTTTAGTTACTTTTTTAGTTACTTTTTTAGTTTTTTACGTTTTTAGTTACGTTTTTTTAGTTTTTTAGTTACTTTTTAGTTACTTTTTTAGTTACTTTTTAGTTATTTTTAGTTTTTTAGTTACGTTTTTAGTTACGTTTTTAGTTACTTTTTAAGTTTTTAGTTACTTTTTAGTTACTTTTTAGTTACTTTTTTAGTTACTTTTTTAGTTACTTTTTTAGTTTTTTTAGTTACTTTTTTAGTTACTTTTTAGTTACTTTTTTAGTTACGTTTTTAGTTACTTTTTTAGTTACTTTTTTAGTTACGTTTTTAGTTACGTTTTTTAGTTACTTTTTTAGTTTTTAGTTTTTTAGTTACTTTTTAGTTTTTTTTAGTTACTTTTTTAGTTACTTTTTAGTTACTTTTTAGTTACTTTTTTTAGTTACTTTTTTAGTTACTTTTTAGTTACTTTTTTAGTTACTTTTTTAGTTAGTTTTTTTAGTTACTTTTTAGTTACTTTTTTAGTTACTTTTTTAGTTACTTTTTTAGTTACGTTTTTTAGTTACGTTTTTAGTTACTTTTTAGTTACGTTTTTAGTTACTTTTTAGTTACTTTTTTAGTTACGTTTTTTAGTTACTTTTTAGTTACTTTTTAGTTACTTTTTTAGTTACTTTTTTAGTTACTTTTTTAGTTACTTTTTTAGTTACTTTTTTAGTTACTTTTTTAGTTACTTTTTTAGTTACTTTTTTTTTTTTTAGTTACTTTTTTAGTTACTTTTTTAGTTACTTTTTTAGTTACGTTTTTTAGTTACGTTTTTTTTAGTTACTTTTTTAGTTACTTTTTTAGTTACTTTTTTAGTTACTTTTTTACGTTTTTTTAGTTACGTTTTTAGTTACTTTTTTAGTTACTTTTTTAGTTACTTTTTAGTTACTTTTTTAGTTACTTTTTAGTTACTTTTTAGTTACTTTTTAGTTACTTTTTTTTTTAGTTTTTTAGTTTTTTAGTTACTTTTTTAGTTACGTTTTTTAGTTACTTTTTAGTTACTTTTTTAGTTAGTTTTTTAGTTAGTTTTTTAGTTAGTTTTTTAGTTAGTTTTTTAGTTAGTTTTTTAGTTTTTTTAGTTAGTTTTTTAGTTACTTTTTTAGTTACTTTTTTAGTTACTTTTTTAGTTACTTTTTTAGTTACTTAGTTTTAGTTTTTTTTAGTTTACTTTTTTAGTACTTTTTAGTTACTTTTTTAGTTACTTTTTAGTTACTTTTTAGTTACTTTTTTAGTTACTTTTTTAGTTACTTTTTTAGTTACTTTTTTAGTTACTTTTTTTAGTTTTTTTAGTTACTTTTTTAGTTACTTTTTAGTTACTTTTTAGTTACTTTTTAGTTACTTTTTTTTTTTTTAGTTACTTTTTTTAGTACTTTTTAGTTACTTTTTAGTTACTTTTTTTAGTTACTTTTTTAGTTACTTTTTTAGTTACTTTTTTAGTTATTTTTTAGTTACTTTTTAGTTACTTTTTTAGTTACTTTTTTAGTTAGTTTTTTAGTTACGTTTTTAGTTAGTTTTTTTAGTTACGTTTTTAGTTACGTTTTTTAGTTTTAGTTACGTTTTTAGTTACGTTTTTAGTTACGTTTTTTTAGTTACGTTTTAGTTACGTTTTTAGTTACGTTTTTAGTTACGTTTTTTTAGTTACGTTTTTTTTTAGTTACGTTTTTTAGTTACTTTTTTAGTTACTTTTTTAGTTACTTTTTAGTTACTTTTTTAGTTACGTTTTTAGTTACTTTTTAGTTAGTTTTTTTTAGTTACTTTTTAGTTTTAGTTACTTTTTAGTTACTTTTTTAGTTACTTTTTAGTTACTTTTTAGTTACTTTTTAGTTACTTTTTTAGTTACTTTTTTAGTTACTTTTTTAGTTACGTTTTTTAGTTACGTTTTTAGTTACGTTTTTAGTTACGTTTTTTAGTTAGTTACGTTTTTAGTTACGTTTTTAGTTACGTTTTTAGTTACCTTTTTAGTTACGTTTTTAGTTACGTTTTTAGTTACGTTTTTAGTTACTTTTTTAGTTACTTTTTTAGTTACTTTTTAGTTACTTTTTAGTTACTTTTTAGTTACTTTTTAGTTACTTTTTTAGTTAGTTACTTTTTTAGTTACTTTTTTAGTTAGTTACTTTTTTAGTTACTTTTTAGTTACTTTTTAGTTAGTTTTTTAGTTACTTTTTTAGTTTTTAGTTACTTTTTAGTTACTTTTTTAGTTTTTTTTAGTTTTTTAGTTACTTTTTAGTTACTTTGTTAGTTACTTTTTTAGTTACTTTTTTA